CACTGCCGCACCTGTATAAAACTCCTCGGCAGATAACTTCAATATAACAACAATTAAAATCCTAAAAATTTATATAACAACCGATAAAAACTATAAAAATAAATTCTGGACATAAAAGAATAATTATAAATATCTATCTATGTAAACGCAAATTAATCCTCTCTAATAACATAAATTTTAAAACATTAAAAACTTCTATATATACCGACTTAATTAAAACCAAACGACGTATATCATTTAAACTACTCTGCAAATAACTACTTTGCGATCGGATGTCCATCAAAAGCGGGCATTCAAAAATAAAATGATCCAAAGTATCAACCAATCCACACTCACATTTATCCGAATCTACTAGTTTAAACCCATAAAGTTTTTGACGAAAGTCTCCGTGACCTGTTAATATTTGACTAACAAAATAGTCTGGCTCAACCCACTGTGCTCAGATCCTCGCCTGAACTGAAGGAAAATAGGCAAAGGTCCGCCTCCCCTTATCTGACCCCTTCCACCTTTCATCCCATATCTTTAACAATTCATTCTTGATCAGTCTCCTAATCTGGCCATCTGTCAAATTTATACTATCCCTAGGATAATTAAAAGAACACACCGTAAAAGTATGACCAAGTCGTATTTTATACCTATAAAAAGCTAACTCAACCTCCAAATCAAGAGGAAGCTCATTAAATAAAATCTGCAGAGCAGCAGTTGAGGTAGTTCGATAAGCTCGAGTACATATCAATAGAACTATACGTTGAGCAGCCATTAATGTCCTCCTTTGAGGGGGCCCCAGTATGTCGCCCCACACACCAGCGGCATAAGATATAATGGAGACAAACAGGAGTCTGTATATAGTTCTTAGGGCAGGAAGCCGCAACCCCCACTCTGATCCCAACAGCCCCTGCAGTCGACAGAATTGGGCCACAGCCTTATCACAAACATCTTTAATATGACTATTTATACTAAAATTCCTACCAATAATCATACCAAGGTAACGGACGGAATCTACAGTCCGTATCCGCACTGTGCCCATTTGCACGCTAGGGGGCGATCCGGGCTGAGTACACTTCTCAGCAGCATTGCCACTGTTTTCAGTGGTGCAAGCCGCAGTTTAATAGCAATTAAATTTTTCTCAAGAATTCGAAGAACCTCACTTGCTCTACACTCAATACCAGCCCTACTATTTTCTTCAATCAAAATAACCAAATCATCGGCATAAGCCACATACCGATAACCAAGATCAGCAAGACCAACCAACACATCATTAAAAACAAGATTCCATAACTTGGGTCCCAAAACAGAACCCTGGGGACAACCCTTACTAATATCCTTCTCCACATAATTATTCCCATGATAATAACGAACTATATGTTTATTAAAATAATCTACTAACACACGATATAAATCCATTGGACAACACTGTAGACGAAGGGTCCGTAGCACAGCAGGCCACCAAATATTATCGAAGGCCCCTTCAATATCTAAAAATAAACCAACAACATACTTCTTATTTGAATCCTGAGTCCACCTTTTAAGACAACAGATCGCATCCGTAGTACTATAACCCCTTCGAAAACCATACTGATGACTGACTAAATAATCTTTAAGTATACATTGAAGCCGCATCTTAATCAGCCTTTCATATATTTTCCCAACAGTTGACAATAAACAAATCGACCTATAAGACCTAGGGCTACTTCTATATCTATCCTTCCCTTTTAACAAAACGATAACTTTGCCCATCTTCCATCGATGCGGGAACAAACCCTTAAATAGACAATAATTAAAAACCCTCAAAAGATAAAACTTTATTACTACAAATGCTTGTCTAATCATATCATAGGTAAAATTATCATATCCTGGAGCTTTACGTCCTTTTAATTTATTAATTACTATTTCCAATTCTTTCATAGTAAATGGCTCAAAACACCTACTACTATAATAATCTTTATTTGCTCGCGTAATCTCTAATTGCTCTTCACTATCCTCTTCTATAACATCATCAGGAAACAAACCTTTAAATAAGTTTCTCACCGAATCCTCCCACTCAATTGCATATACATCTCCTTTAACCGAACAAATAACATTACCCATTTTAACTTTTTCCCTAATAATCTTGTATGGTAGTCTCCAAACATCCCTATTTGCAGTAGATTCAACAAAATTTCTCCAACTTTCCGTTTTTGCTTTCTCAATCTCTTTTTTATAATATTGATAAAACCTTTGATATTCCGCCAACTTAATATCTCTAGTTATTAAATCCTTTTCCCTTTGAAAAATCTGCCTTAAACTGAATACCTTCTTACGTAATTCATCTAACCTCAACGACCACTATCGAGATTTATATTTCCTAACCGTATGACCTTTACTAACCATATAAAACGCTACATTCATAGCTGAATGGATAATGTTAACAGCCCGTATTAATTTACCTACACTATTAATCTCAAATATCCAATGTCTTCGTAAATAATTAGAGATAATAGACCTATACCTATGTCAGTTAATACATCTCTTATCTAAATAAATACTAAATCTCTTTTCTAAACGCATAACCCCAAAATTAACTTTATACGAAATCAACGCATGATCTGCAGAAGTGTGATCATGAGAGACTACACAATCCCACACTTCATCTTTCAAAGCCTTCATCTTTCAAAGCCTTCGAATAAGCCACTACGTCTATAAAAGACTCTCCTGTGGTAGAACGAAATGTCGGAATCTCGGTTTGACTATTCAATATATTATATCCCCAACGCCCTAAAACTACCATTAATTCTTCACCCCGCTTATCTATACCTTTACTCCCCCATAATGGGGACTTGGCGTTTGCATCTAATCCTAACAAAACTTTTTTACCATCCAAAACCTCCATAATTTGCTCCAGATAAATCAAAGAATCTTCAATATCGTCATTGGGCGGAAAGTATGCACTAACTATGTACACCCTAGTATTCCCTCTAGTCAACAGTGTAACCACACAATTACCCGAGGAAAAATTTGTAAGCTCCATTACTGACCAATATTCGCTAAACACTAATATGGCTGCCCACGGTGTTTGTATTAAACTCTGAACAACCTTAGTCATAAATCTAAAGCCATACACCTTTCCCTTAATAACATAAAGCTCTTGAATTATTAATATATCGGGTCTATAATTGTCTATATATACACTTAACTCTCCAGGGACTATCTTATTTCTTTGAGCATTTAATTGTGCTACCTTTAATATTATTTCAACCTTATCCATAATCTATACTGTTTTTATAACGCGTAATAGCTACTTGATATGAAAAACATAATCTAGCCCCTGAAAAATGCTCCCATTGTTTACCCATCTGTCTACAAGGAACACAAATCTTTTTAACTTGCTCTATCTTACACTCTTTAGCCCAATGTCCTTCTCCTCCACATCTAAAACAAGTCTCTCGTTCAGCCTTACACGATTTAGCTAGATGTCCGTACATTTGACATCTAAAACATTTTGTAACCTCCACATAATCCTTCACAATGCAACATCGATAATCTAAATATAACCGATTAAGATGTAGAAGTTTATTACGCATGCTAGGTTCCACCTCTATCACCCAATTAACGAGTAACTCCCGTTTTCTACCAGTTCTATACAAAGGCTTAAATTCCCGAATAAAAACCTCCTCATCCATATCACTACTATTATACAGTAAATCACTATTTTGATTATACAATAACCGAACTAAATCACTACTTCCTAATTCCCTAGGAACATCTACTATCAAAACTCTAGGTCTACGTTTTACTGGTAATGTAACCTCAATACTTATCTGCTTCATCTGTTCGTGTTTTACTAACTTATCTCTATCTCTAGTTGATGCCAACACCGCCACTAATCCTCCACTTCGTAATCTACGCAAACTTTGAAACCAAATTTTATCTTTAACCGGATCTATATTCATCATTAACTTCTTTTTTACACTATCACTACCTTCATTATCTACCCCTCTAATAAAAACATTATCTCCTTCAGGCTTTGTTTCCTCAACCTTTCTTGTCTTCATAATCTCTGAATATGCCATTGGCGTTGAAGTAACCGGAACACTAGGTCTATCTATAGTCTGAAAAACATTTAACTTACCAATTAATCTCTCATTTTCCAATGTTAACGATCTAACTACATTAACCACTTGACTAAATGTTTCTATTAAAGACCCTGCTGTAACCTTAGATATTCTACTATCTTTATGACAATATTTCCTAAACTCAATTAATAATTTCTCTGCCTCCTTTAAATAAGCAGCTCCATCATAACTTTCTCTCTGATACGTCGCCTTACTTTCACTCAAACTTCTACTCAATCTACTTCCACCTCCTATCATACTCGAGTCATGAAGCTCGACCCCTCCCCCCGCAATTGTAAACGTTTTTAATTTATTCTTACTACTCATAATTTTAAATAAGAAAAACCCCAAAACCCCCCTAAGACCCAGGTGCCCACCTACCCCGCCGCCACGACGTGCACCCGATCAGGCCCATGGGCTATTAGAGGGCCAGGGGCAGTCCCCGTGGCCTCGGCAGTGGCCCCACCCCCTGCCAGAGGGTCCTGACCAGGGCGCCACCCTGCACTCTGACAGGGGGCGGGATTATACACCCTTTGACCAGGGCGGCCAGTAGGGACCGGCTAGCCCCACCAGGCCCCTAACTAAGGGGCGCCCCAGGTGTTTCCCCCCCAGTTTTAAAGCTGTACCCTTGGGGCCTAACCCTCTCCCCCGAGACACTAATCTAGGCACATGCCATAGTTTTAGAGACAGGCAGACACCTGAATCTCCCGTTGCACCATTAACTTCCCCAGGACACATACCATTACAGCATGTCCCCTGGATACTGAGCCCCTCTGCCACGACAAGGCTGGTATGTACGATTTGGGGCCATTGCCTGATTTGGGCACAAGCAATGGACCCCCATTTAGAGAGGAGTAGATAGGGACATTTCATTTCATTTGTTGGAACTTCGTCAATTTGTTGGAACTTTCGGGGGCGACTCAATATGGTTGTCCCGTTCGACTGTTTATATTTAATGATCTCTACACCGCTAGGCTTCGTAGAGAGTAATTAAAACTAATAGATTATATAATCTATTAAACTGGTTACATTAAAATAAAATCGAATGCGCGACAATAGTACCTCCGTTAACACGGAGTTAGTTATTTATACAGTACGATTCACGTGTACTAGCGCTGATACTATATTTACAGGATACCATTTTTCTTCTGTTTGACATTCGTCCTGATGATGTTGAGTACTATGTTGTACAGGTTGTTGTTTAACACTGCCGAAGATGGAGAGATTGGCCACTTGAAGCCTTCAGAGACACTTGTGAGTCGAAGTTCATGACGTGTTGCCTCGAGACAATTGCAGTTGAACAGGATGTGGAGAGGGTCCTCCAGGACCCCACAGGATACGCAGAGGGGGGACGGGGCGTGCCCGTACCTGTATAGGTAGCCTTTGAAGTCACCGTGGTTCGTCAGAAAAGCCGTGGTGTGATGGTCGATATCGATGTGCTTGCTTTGGATTCTTTGGTTCACATCTGGCGGGAAGGCGAAGAGGTCCCTTCCCTTTGCGGAGGTGCTCCAGAGATGTTGCCATCGGGTACGGTAATGGAGCTTCAGCTGATGTTTCATACTGCTTAAGGGGGTGAGGCTGTAGGTGGGATTGGTGTCCTGTTTGCATGCTTCCTTGGCTAGTCTATCTGCGGTCTCGTTCCCTTCATGACCGACGTGGGCTTTGACCCAGCAGAAGTATAGGATGTTTTCTTTTGTAGCGTCCCTTAGCAGGTGCCAGATGTCTTGCACTAACTTTCCCTTATTGTTGACGTCTTTTAGTGCTTCAATTGCTGACATGCTGTCAGTGCAAATGTAAACTTTGGAGCATCTATGGTGATGCTTTACCCACTTTAGGGCCTTATAGATGGTGAATAGTTCAGCTTGATAGTTGCTGCAGTTCTTGTGTAATTTCCAGGATTGATGGTACAGTGGTCGTCGTCTGTTGAAGTACACGAAGGCGGCTCCCACGCCGTCGGTGTTCCTGGAACCGTCCGTGTAGATACGATTGATGAGGCTAGAGTTGTAGGCTTTTGTGGTGATGGCTGGAATGTCTTTGATGTTGAGCCTCTGGATGGCGGGAATGGATGGTTCGATGCGGGTAGACGCAGTGGAGATGTGGCTGGGGATGATTCCTTCTGATCATAAGAGATGGACGTCCTTCTTCAGCATAATCTCGAGGTCCAAGGGCAGAACACCGGCCAGAACATGTAATGCGTTGTTTGAGACTGTTCTATAGGCTCTTGTCATACGTAGAAGGATTCTTCGCTGTATGGAAAGGAGTTTTCTTCTGATATATGTGTGAGCTGTTCTGTCGCTCCAGGCACTAGCGCCGTAGACCACCATGGGAACAACAGCACCCTGGTACACCTTCAGCGCCATGCCAGAGAGACCCCAGTCTTTCCTAGCGACTTTCGTGAACCAGGCGAATAGGCTTCCCGTCTTCTTCATTATGTTTTCTACATGCAGGATCCAACTTAATTTGTTATCGAGGGTGATTCCCAGATAGTCCAATGTTGGGGAGATGTTCACTTGCTCATTGTTGAGATGTATTTTTGGATGTTTTTTCTCGACTTTGTAGTTGGTAAGTATGAGGGCGTTTGTCTTGCTGGGGTTAAAGCAGAGTTTGTTGTCCACACCCCAGTTATGGATCTTCAGTAGAATATTATTGGTGATCTTTTCAAGGTTTGCTCTGCTGTTGGTGGAGGTGATCAGGATGATGTCATCTGTGTAGGCAGTAACGTGTCCGTCCTGCAGGAAACCGCGGCGTAAGATGTCGTCCACGAGAATGCTCCAGAAAAGGGGGCCAGAGCAAGAGCCTTGTGGGCAGCCGATGGAAACTTGTTCCGAGACGGTGACACCACCATAGGTGAGGGTGGCAGAACGACTCTGGAAGTAGTTGCAGATCAGGTTGTAAAGGTTGCTTGGGCACTGTTTTTCTTCGAGCTTGGCGAGCAGAAGTGGCCATCAGGCGTCGAAGGTGCCTTGAATGTCGAGGCTGATAGCGGCAGTCCAGGAGGCAGAAGACTTGCATTCTTGCAATCTTTTCACAACTCTGTTGATGGCGTCTTCTGAGCTGATGCCCTCCCTGAATCCGAATTGGTTGGGATGGAGTGGATTGTGAGTGTTTAACCATTCTGTTAGCCTTCTTGTAATTAATCGGTCTAGTAGCTTACCCATGGTAGGGATGAGGCAGATTGGTCTATAGTTCTTAGTATATTCGATGTCCTTATTCTTGCCCTTGTATATGGGAGTGACGGTGGCCTTCTTCCAGTAGCTAGGGAATATGCCGTTTTGTAGACAGCAGTTGCAGAGTGCCGGGAGGAGAGCTGGTATGCGAGCATTTAGGCTTTGGATGATCTCTATGGTGAGTCCATCGTGGCCTGGCGCTTTTCCCTTCTTGAATTTCGCCAGGGCCCAGTTGATTTCCTTTTCTGTGAATGTTGGGGCCATTGGATTTGTAGTTTAGATTGCGTCTGATGTTGGCGTGATGCAGGTTGTTGGTGGATGGATCGTCTTCTTTGAAGAATTCATCTAGCAGTAACTTGAGACAGTCTTTGGTGTTAGATCCCCGATCTCCCTTGGTATTTCTGAGATCCGTTAGTTGAAATTTTTGGGTTCCGATTTTGTACAAGACGTTCCAGGGGTAGGCGGACGATCTCGTGCAGAAATCTTTCCAGCTTGTCCTTTTGGTGGATCGGATGTGTTCTTTATATTTTTTCTGCTCTTCTAGATAAGCTTCTTTTAACAGCTCTCTCTCCGCTGGGTTCCTGCTCTTTTGGTATCTCTTCCTCTTGGCGTTAGTCTTGTTCTTGTGGGTTTGAGGGTCTTTGTTCCACCAGCGGATGATCCTCTCTCTTTCCTTGTATAAAGGGATGTGGCGATCAATGGTGGTGGTGAGGAGATGTAGGAAGCTGTTGGCAGCGATTTCGGCATCCAACTCAGTGTTAATACTCTCAAAGTTGTAATCTGCTTCAGTGATGGTAGTGATGATCTTGTCCCAATTTGCTCGCCTTAAGTTGTACTTCTTGATGTTCGAATCTGGTGTAATAAAGCTGGTTATCTTGAAGGTAATGTAACGGTGGTCGGATAGAGTAATCTCATTTAGCACTTCCCAATCGTTAACGAAGTTGAGGGCAAGTTTATTGCAGATTGTAATGACCACATTGGAGGTGCCGTTGCTACTCTCGAAGGTACTCAGGTTGCCTGGCTCGTTTAGGAAGAACAGGTCCTTTTCGCAAGCGAATTCCTCGATGGCCTCGCCCCGATCGTCTGTTTCCTCTTCATACCATATGAAAGAATGTGCGTTGAAGTTTCCGCCGATGATAATCCTGTGGGTTGAGTAGTATTTGTCAATGACCACCTCGATGTCTTTTAGGGCCGCTTCCATGCACGATTCCATTGGAACGTAGACACTTCCTATGATCCAGTATTGACTCATGTTGTTGATTTTGATGAAGGTTTGGTAGGCGTTGCTGTGTTGCGTTAGCAGGAGACAGCAGAGGTTTGGGTCCGTGATTCCTATCATTGTCCAGGGCACCTCGTTGCCGCAGTGGTAAAGTTTCTTCATGTGGAGTGGCCATCCAAAGGGTTTACCGTCTCGTTGATACGGTTCTTGCAAAAGCAGCACTTTGGCATCTGTGGCCGGGTATGCCACCAACTGTGAAACCGCCTCTACACCTCTGCCAAGGTTGGTCTGCAGGATGTTTAGGGAATGTTGATTAACTTTCGGTTGTTGGCTTTCTTCGTTTTGCGTATTGCCTTTATCCATAGGTGGTTTTGGCTCGTATACTTCTGATCATTTTTGTCCTTTCGCTGCAGCAGTTCTGGTTTGCTTTATGGGCGAAGTTGGTGGCCTTATTTCTTACGCAGTTGATGCAGTTTGGTGCCTTGCTCTTGTTCCTGCATTCGGAATACTTGTGATCGCCTCCTCAGTGATTGCAGTAGGCATGTTCACTCGAACAATCCTTGGCAAAGTGCCCATACTTGCAGCATCTAAAACACTGGACGATGTTGTAGTAATCATCGACGCTGCATCGGACCCAGTTGATGTTGATTTTCTTTAGTCTTAGAAGGATTTTCCTCAGTTTTGGTGTCACTTCGCATACCCAGTGGTTAACCTCTGGTTTTCTGCCCCATTTGTACTTGATGTTGATGTCCTTCTGGAATTCTTCCAAGTCTGTATAGTGTTCCGCTATTTTCAGGTTCTGTTGGTATATGGTTTCCACAATTTCTTCCTTTCCGATGTCTCTTGTCACATTGTAGATCGCCATTTTTGGTAGGATTTTCTTAGGTTCCCTTGCTGTCAGGTTGTTGATCTTGCTTATTTCCTCTATAACATTTTCCTCGCTGCTTTGTTGTTTTATCTGCACTAAGACACTTTGATTTCTTATTTTTCTCACTTTGGTTATGCCGACTTTAAGGGCTTTTGGATTCAGGTGCTGCTTGAGCCGCCTTTTTATCGTCTCGGCGTCTTTTTTCTTGTCTTTAATTTCTATAATAATGACCGATGTGTTGGAATTGGGCCTCGAGGCAGGCGGGACTCCCTTGACTTTCTCCGCAAAAGTGGGTGCTGGTGGTTGCCGCATCTTGCTAGCTTCCAGTAGTTGGTCAAGCTTCGTTGCTATTTCTTCCATCTCCGTATTGCCAGGCTTCTTGGTATTCTTGTATACGTCTATCATTCTGTCAAAGAATTCAAGTATACTACTGGAGTGAGTTTTGGTCCCGAACTTTGAATATGGGTTCTTTTCCATGTACTGCTCAAGTTCGTCTCTAATGGTAAAAAGTTCTACCATCCCCTGCTCGGGCTGCTTCCCGGGGGGGGTCAACGGATTCCTCATCCCTACACATAGCCAAAAGGGAAGTGACAGGGGAAGAGGTAAGAATAAATGAAAGTTGGAGAATGGCACTGAAAAGTGCCGTTTACAGCTGCTGTTAGCACCCCCTAAAGAAGGGGAAACAGGGCCACCACGTGTAGGTCAGCAGCTGGAGACAGGTAGTGGTGTCTTGCGATAAATAGCGTCTAGTAGACACTTGGTAAAGGTGAGAGAATAGCTTCGAACGGTTTGCTTCGAAAAATAGCTCACAATCGCACACAAAACGCTTAGGGTCTCAGCCCCAGTAGATAGGGACATTCATTCATTCATTTTATTCAACGTGTTAATACATATTTCCTGGCCCCGCAATTAGCATTACCAGGAAGATATTAAATATACAAGATATATAACGATAATTCAATGCTTTGTATAACACAGAATACAGAGTAAAATTATATATAATAAATAAACATAATATACAGAAATAATTAATACAGATTATATGTAGTACATAATGGAAATATTAACAGTAAAATAAATATAATCAAATATATACAAATTAAATTTCATGTAATAGAGAACAAAGTTAAAGGTACAGTGTCATAGTAAAGTACAAAGTAATTGAACAATATGTTCAATATTAGAATATATCATAATTACACATTACATATTTCAATTATATTATGGTACGTAGTATCACAGAAATCACATATGATGCATGACATCTTAAATATTTTAGCTACATATGAAGCATTAACGACAATCAATTATCAAACAGAGAATTCACATTTAAAGAGAGAAGTGCTAAACATAGAAGATAATGCAGTCAATACAAAAGTATATCAACAATGTAGTCATCACGAATATATATCAACTGTATAAAGTCATCTGTTGAAGTCTAGCTTTCTCTTTAATATAAACTGGACAATTTTTATCCATGGTGTTATGATCGTTATTGTCTAAATTTCCTCGGGAGCAATTAATACACTTGGGTGGATTCTGCTTATTCGGACAACATTTAAATAGATGCTTCTCGTTACAGTGACTACATATATTTTCTTTTTCAGGGCAACGTTTAGCAAAGTGATGGAAAGATAGACATCTGTAACACTGTATTACTGGAATGTAGTCATAAACACGACATGAAGACCATTGTAGATAAATTTTCCCAGCTTTTATCATCTTTTGTCTGATCTCTGGAGTTACTTCCAGTACCCAGGAGACATTTTCAGTATTCTTCTCATTTAATGAGAACTTAATGTGTACCTGTTCAGCAAAGATTCTATCAGTAAAAGTATCTAATAGATATGCATTCTGCTCAAAAATTTGTAAGATTAGATCTTCTTTAGCTACACATTTAGGTACTGATGCTATTTTTATCAGAGGTAATCTTTTTTTAGGTAATTTTGCACTTAGATTAGGAATTTTTTCTGCATTCTCTTTAAAATATTTGACTTCATTTTTGTGTTGTAAATCCACAGCGATACCTCCATTTCCTATTTTTCTAACATTTCGTACTCCTATACCTAACACTCCAGGATTCAGATTGTCTGTTAATTGCTTTTTTGTCTCCTCACAAGTAGCCTCTTTCTTATTGCTATAAACTAGTACTGTGTATTTTGGCGGAGGCGGTTCACTTACATTAAGAGTTGGTTTTAATCCTTTCTTTAGAACATCCCTATAACTCGAAGGACAAGAGTCGTTGCCTCCACTAAAATCATCTGATATGTTTTCCCTATTGGTAAGCATGGTATATTGAATATCCTTCATAATTTTGCTAGTTTCTTTATTTTGAGTTTCTGTAAATCTTAATAAATCTTCCTTTGTTACTAATCCAGATAATGTTTCATTAATTACATTGTTATTGTGAAGGGTTACCTCAGCAAGTTCGACTAATCTCGAGAATTGTGTTAAGATAAATGATAAGTGGCAATCAGCTCCAAATTTAGCGTTCGGAAATCGGCGAGAATATTGCCTAATTTCGTCCATAATACCATTAGTAGTTTCACGAAACTTCTGCATTATAGATTCCATTTTAAGTAAAATAGTATAAATTTTATTAGAAAGCGAGAAAAACCCAACTTCCGGTTAATGTTCTAGAAGCTTATAGAAGTTGAGGTCAATGACCTTTAACAGGATGTTGAATTTGATGAAATCTAAGAATTGCCGTAATTTAAAAACTATTAGTCCGATGATAACGAAATTTTCTGAGCAGGTTACGTTTAGGGTCTTAAGAGAACTGCCTGAGTATTTTGTGAAAATGGCCCACCGGAAGAAAGTTAACTGAGTTCGAATTTAGACCGGAAATAGTCGATAATTCCGCAAATATTAAGTCCAGAACAATTAAATTTTAAAGTTTTACTCACATACATAGTGCTAATAAAATAGCGTACCATGACCCGGATGATCGGTCAACTAAGTCCGGTAAACCGAATTCGTAAAATCCAAATTTTCAAAATGGCATAACTTCTTAACGGAGTATCCAATTTGAAAAATTTCGACGGACTCTTGTTCCAGATGCAAAACGGATTCAGCAAATGTATAACACTAATATAAAATAATAAGATGCACACAAAATATTATAAAAAATTAAGAGCTGAAGTTGTCCACATTCTATCACTTTGAAGTACTAGCGCCGCTTCAGTAGATAGGGACATTTTTTTTTTTTTTTCTTTTTTTTTCGTTAATGTTGGAGCTCGTCTTTGCAGCCGTGTTACTTGATGCGGCCGCTTCGACAGCTCCTTTTACTGTCTCTCTGCCTTGCAACGCTTCGCACAGAATTTAAAATCAAGTTTAATTACAAATTTTTAAATACACCGTACAATTTTGTGAGTCTTACATAGTTATATCCGCAATACCAGATTGTTTTTAACAATAAATTGCGAGATGGTTACACACACTATCGATTAGATTTTACGCGTACAATGATACTTAGTACATATGTCCAACAACAACGCAAATAACGTAGCATCTTCAATCAGAAGGTGCTTTTGAATAGGCCATTGATGACCTAATTGTTCACAGAGTGCACGAAGTTCCAATCTTCTATCTTCTAGTTTAATACAGTCAAATATAATATGTGTTGTATCTTCTCTCACTCCACAAGTCTCGCATAACTCTGATTCACTATATCCATGTTCATACAGATATCCATTGAAGTATCCATGTCTTGTGAGGAACGCTGATATATAATGTGTAACAGTAAAATGACTTATAGTCAACCTCTTAGGTACGCTTGGGATGAACGAAAATAGTTCTCTGCCTTTAGTAGAACTCTTTCATCTCTCCTGCCATAAGTTAGTGTAATATTGTTTAATTCTTGACTTCACTGTCTGTAACGTAAATCCATTGTATGAGATCCGTAACTCTTTACTTGATGCATCTTTTGCTAACCTATCCGCATTCTCATTTCCAAAAAGTCCCACATGAGCTTTAACCCATGCGAACACAATTCCGTTGTTAATGTCAGGCCCTTCGGCTCGTACCAGTTCCTTCCATATTTCGTTTGTTAATGGATTTCTATTATTCAGATCTCTTATTGCCGAGATTGCCGATTGACTATCTGTGCATATTGTAACATGTATATTAATACTTGCTTTATTAAGTCATCTCAGGGCAAACAAGATAGCGAACATCTCTCCCTGAAAGTTGTTGCATAAAGCATGTAACCTCCTTTGTTGATTATAGTGCTCTTTCCCACACACACAGTATACGAATGCAGAGCCAGTACCTTCTACTGAACTTGAACCATCTGTGTATAATCTCATATCTGTAATGTTATGTTCTTTAACTTGGATATTAGGCACATGTCTTATACTAAGCCTTTGTGTTTTAAGGAGTTGCCTCTCTAGTTTGACGTTCTCCAATTGTAAATAAGGTGGCACATGTTTTCTTTCCTTACAGTGTTTGATATCATATCTTAACTTTAACTGTATGTCTAGCGGCATTACGCCTG